TGTGTGTGTGTGCGCGTGTGCGTCTGCGTGTGCGTGTGTGTATGTATGTGTACGTGTGTGTGTGCGTGTGTGAGAGCGTATGCGTGCGTGCGCGCGCGCGTGTGTGCGTGTGTGTGCGCGTGTGAGAGTGTATGCGCGCGTATGCGCGCGAGTGTGTGCGTGTGCGTGTGTGAGAGCGTATGCGTGCGTGCGTGTGAGAGTTTATGTATGTGTGTATGCACATGTGTGTAAGCGCGCGTGTGTATCTAGTCACTCACCCGCCATTGAGATTCGTTACCCAGGGTCGTTTGTGCGGCCCTCCATCCAGATCGTGCATATCTCCATCCTCTATCAAGGAACCACTCTGTAAGCAAGCAAACGAACATGAGACGAAAGCACGCGTAAACGCACTAAACCACAGGGAGCAGGTGAAACGCGATTACAATGGGCTTTGTGTCTTACAACTGCCGCCGCCGCCGCCACGTGCGCGCGAAACGACGGGGTGTAAAATATGCATGGCTCGTGCGCGTGGTGTCAGACCCATCATCAAAGCCTTACCGAGCCATTGAGACGAAGGGTTTGTGGGTGGTTTGTGGTGGTGGTGGTGGTGCTGCTGCTATTGCTGCACTGCTGCTGCTGCTAATGCTGCTACTGCTGCTGCTTACGCAAACACATCAATGCTACCAGCATACCTATTTTTATCGCTTCGTACGTACGCAGCGTCCTTCTTGTGTCGTCCTCGCCATCACGGGTTGTAAAAACACTGAGTTTAGAAATCTGCACACAGAGCACTCACCTTCGCATTACGGTAGTCGCCTTTCTTTCCAGCCTTCCTTCTTCAGGCATGGACATGTTTAGCACGTACTCTCGCCGCTATTTATGGACATTCTAACGAGAACCTAACGATTTCTGGGTAGACTCTACGGTTCTCGTATGAAACCCTGACATTTTTCTCTTCGGGTCATCATATGCCGACTGTACTCACGCACACCGACTACACGCATGGACGCCAACTGCACGCACGCACGCACGAACATACGCACGGACCCCGAGTGCACGCACGCACACTGACTAAACGCACGCACGCCGCCTACACCCACGCACACCAACTACACGCACGCACACACACACACACACACACACGCACACACGCACACACGCCATACTCGGACGTGCGAAATCGTATTAGCAAAACGCGTGCGGCAACGAGTAAAGTGTTTCAGCTCAGCATGATCTAGTTAGGCGTCCACTCGGCGTGTTTGCTCCACGGCTACAAACGCGCACACAGCGCCGCCGCACGGACACTGCGCGAACATCGACGCCGCAGCGCGCTGCTAGGCAACGAGTTTATTTTGTCGGCGGGACAGCGGACGGTGGCTCTCGCGCGATATCGCGAGACAATTCCTGCTCCTACCGAGACAATCTATCGGGAGTGCGGAAATAGGCAGTAAATAGTAATTGACGATGTCATATATACGGTTCAGAGAAGTTACTTTGTGGGTAATCTTTAGATACTAGGTGTATTAAGCATGGTTACTGGAGCATTAAGCATGGTTCCTGGGTGCATTAAGCATGGTTACTGGGTGGATTAAGCATGGTTACTAGGTGGATTAAGCATGGTTACTGAGGGAGATAAGCACGGATACTGGGTGGATTAAGTATAGTTACTGGGTAGATTAAGCATGGTTATTGGGTGGATTAAGCATGGATACTGGGTGGATTAAGCATGGTTACTGGGTGGATTAAGCATGGTTACTGTGGGAAGTTAGACAGTTACCGGGGGCAGTTAAACATGGTTACTGTGGGGATTAAACATGGTTACTGGGGGGGGGGGTTAAGCATGGTTACTGGGTGGATTAAGCATAGTTATTGGGTAGATTAAGCATAGTTACTGGGTGGATTAAGCATGGTTACTGGGGGAAGTTAAACAGTTACTGGGGGCAGTTAAACATGGTTACTGTGGGGATTAAACATTGTTACTGGGGGAATTAAGCATAGTTACTGGGAGAGTTAAACACGGTTACTGGAGGAGTTAAGCATAGTTACTGGGTGGATTAAATATAGTTACTGGGAGAGTTAAACACGGTTACTGGAGGAGTTAAGCATAGTTACTGGGTGGATTAAATATAGTTACTGGGAGAGTTAAACACGGTTACTGGAGGAGTTAAGCATAGTTACTGGGTGGATTAAATATAGTTACTGGGAGAGTTAAACACGGTTACTGGAGGAGTTAAGCATAGTTACTGGGTGGATTAAATATAGTTACTGGGAGAGTTAAACACGGTTACTGGAGGAGTTAAGCATAGTTACTGGGTGGATTAAATATAGTTACTGGGAGAGTTAAACACGGTTACTGGAGGAGTTAAGCATAGTTACTGG